TCTTCGATGTCACCGAGCAGCTCGCCGTCACTCTCTACCTCGGAGTCCGGGTCCTCGGTAGCTTCGACAGCCATTTCATTTGTGACTCTTGAGGTGGTGAGGGCACTTAGATTGAGCTGTGGAAATTTACGTCGGGTCAGCCACCTGCTAAGCTAGAAGCCCTTATGGTAGCCTTCCGTCCCCGCCTCGATCAGCTCTCCATGGAACTCCTCCGAGGTCTTATACTCCTCGACGGCCTTAGTCTTGGCCTCCTCCACTGCCTGAAGGAGTATCTCAATCCGCTCCTTCACGAGGGCCTCGAGATTCTTTACCTTCCGCTATAACGCAACCTTCTGCCTCGCGAGCTCCTCCTTCTCAGTGATCAACAGTGTGATCAGTTCTTTTTGAGCCCGCGCATCCTTCTTCAGTTGGTTATTCTCGCTGCGGGCTAGGTTTAACTCGGTGTGAGCCTCGCGAGGCGATGACTCAGCTGCAATAGCTCGCTTTAGGTGCAGTTCAGACTGGTACGTCAGAGCGTGCACAACGGAGTTCACCTGCGAAAAGAAGAATAGTAGTTAGTACAAGAAAAGTTCTCAAGTACAAAATTGAAGAAGTAAAGACAACTTACCACCATACAATGAGTAGCCGCTCGAGCTCCAAATTGAGCGACCGATAGCTCGGCCCAGTTGGCGACCTCCTTGGCGTATACTGCACTCTTGCTCTTGAGAAGGTTGTACTTCGGAGTCTGAATGCTTTGAATTGCCCCTTCGCTGCCCGAAGTGGCGGCCGTAGGGGCGGGCTCCGAAGATGTTACCTCCTCGGGTGCGCGGGGCGGGGAGACCCTTGCTGGTTCCTCCTCGACCAGATCGATCATTGGAGGTTGTGCAGTGGAGGGCTGCTCAGGCTCAGGGACGGCAACCTGTGGAGACTCAACGCGAAGTCTTTTGACAGCTCACTTCTTTTTCCCCTTCATTCAGCCAAGAAGTTTGTTCGCAGGGAGCTTCATGGTTGCTGTAACAAAAGCAAAATGTCAGAAACAACCTCAAAATAAATCAAAGGCAGCACAAAAGTAATGACCTACCAGGACTCAGACCGACCTGCACGAGCTTGTCTTCAGTCACATAGTCTGCAAACTTGAGACCGAGCTCCGCCCAGGACTGGAGGGCTTCCCTTGTCTTCAAGTCTAGCCTGACATCGGGATCTTGGATGGCCGCCCTCCAGTGGGTCGGGAAAGGCCACCCCTCAGTGTTACAGACCAAAAAGTAGCCCCTATCAGAAGACTATAAACAAGATCACTCGGAAGCCTATACCGAGTTACTAAGGCCTGGAGCCTATCCGCTGTCATCGTCGATGGGCCAAAGTTATCTAGCTGTCGACCTCGGCGTGAGGTGGACGCCAGACCACCGGAGGCTTCTCGCGCCTCCCATGGTGATTCCACCTTAGGAGGACCATGGACCGCTTCTTAACCCATAGTAGCTTCTTCGGTAAGGCGATCTACGACTTGAGTCGAGGTACCCACCTTGGCCCCAGCGGATTCACCGCTCCCATCTAAAAGACTATCAAAGCTAAAACTAGACATAGTGAAGAAAAGACAATCAGAAAAGGAGAGCTAGGGAAGACTCACCAAAGAAAGACCAAATTGAAAGAAGACACCGGACTGGAGAAACCGTGCTAAGAAGCTTGAACGTGACCTCAGAACGAAGATTTGCAAATTTGTGATGAAACAAATGAGTCTCGGGCCCCCTATTTATAGCTGGTATGTCCGAAAATCAACGGTCGAGATTGAAGCAATCCAACGTCTCCTAGGAAAACCGGCTGCACGACCCCCGAGGTTGAAATCGGTTTAGCGCATTTTTTGATATCCATGGAGTTTGTAGATCGTGTGACATTCGCATGTAAACCAGACATGACCTGGGTTATTCTTGGTTGAGCCAGATAGCCGAATAGGTCCGACCAGCGATTCGCCCGACAAGCCACCCGGACCTCAGGCCAAATCCACTTGTCTCGTCATGAGCTCCCCGCACCGGGTCGGGACCCCTGGCTCAGGGAGTGAGGGGCAATTGATGAAGGGTGATTTGGCCCGACCTAGTAAAGAGGGGACATGTGGACACGACCTGACCAAGAGATGACAACTCAACTTATCATGACCAATCTGCAGCAGATTGATCTCAGGTACCCAACCACCCCGGGCTAAAGTGACCTCGGGACAAGGCCACCTCGGGACGAGATCGCTTCGGTACCAGATCGCAACTAGAACACTTCGATGCCAAGGCACTTCGACACTCAACCCAGTTCGGGACTTAAAGACATCAGCTTGGGGATACCGACATGCCACTACGTTGTGATCCCGAAAACCCCTCCAATGGATCTGGGTCTCACGGGATCACGCCGCATAACAGCTAGCATTATCTCCCCGACTGATTCGGGCGGAATTGAGGAACATTATCGGTTGGTAGCGTTATCTTCCAACTAACGTGAAAACGGATCCTATTGTGACGAGGATCCTAGAACCGATCCGCAAAACCCGCGAGGACTCGACTATATAAAGGCTCCACCCCTGGAGGTTGAAGGTACTTGTGATTATTCTGCTCTCTAGTTCTCTACACTCTAAAGCTTTCTAACTTGCAACAGTCTACTAACTTAAGCATCGGAGCGACCTCGCCGGGCTAGCAACCCCGGGTTCTCTGATCCTTCTCTTGCAAATCAACTTAGTCCGTCGTCCGCCTGGAAGCCAGATCACCTCCAGCAGGGAGCAGTTAGATCGCACTACATCACATGCTACCATGATTAAATAATAAAATTAAAAGATAGATAAAATAAAAAATAGAAATTAAAAAAATTGAGAACATTTGTAACATACATATTAAACAATAATAAGTATGTTAAATAAGAAATGTTTTTATTAATGACGAAAATGGAATGTAAAATTTAAAACCAATTGGAAATAAAAATATTTTCCTATTCTCTC